ATACAAAAATTGTTATTAATTTTTGGTTTAAACTATTGTCTATACCATGCGTATTTACTAAAATAATGTAATAATAATATAATCACAAATATATAAGTATAATTTAAGAAAGCTATAAATTTCGTAGCATAAATCGCAACCTTATAGGTTAGATATCGAGAAACAAAACATTGAGACATGAGGGCGGCTGCCATTCGCTCGGACAGGTTCGCGTCAACGTTTTATCGCACCGCTCCCACACGGCGCCGCCGCGGCGCCCTATACCGAAATGCCTATTATTTAATAATTATTTATAAAAATAATGATTTTACACTATCGATGTGCGCTAAATATTGAAACAATAATTAATACCAAATCTCAGTTAATAACATAATAAATACGAAATTCGACTATACTCCTAGTTATAAGTACGAGTATATTTTAGACAGAATCTAAATTATAGCAACTAGTGTTTACCGCTCAATGCAATATTTGAAGTTTGCTAGTTATCGACACTGATGTGAAGGGGTCAACGTAAATTGGTAATGATCGACGTTTTCATACAATATTAGTCCCCGTCCAGTACAAGATGAGATTTTTCGCCAGGGATCAATGTCAATTGGTGGCTATCGACGTTTTCATAGAATTTTAGTATGTGTCCAGTATAAGTTGAAATAGAATCAATTAAAGTGAAAAATTGTAGTAAAATGATAACAATTTACCAGTTTCAGATTTTTTCCTTTATATTCACCTAATTACCTATCTGCATACCAAAATTGAACTTCCTAGGTCATCTGGAAGTGGGTTATAATTTTGATCTATAGTTGATCAGTGATAAAAATGACGATTTTTGGACATTAATATCTAAATAACCGTTTGAGATATGTTTATGAAATTTGGAACACATATTTATCTCGCAAGTCTCAATATATGAACCAAATTTGACAGGTTTGTGTGAAAGAGTTTTTGAGTTATGAGGGGGTCAAAAGTGGCTCCAAATGGTTCGTGTAAATATACACACGGTGCTGCAGGCCAGTTTACTTGAAACTCGGCTTGACACGCTGCCGCGTGTCTAGATCAGAACACACAAGATCTGCTTAGCTTGGCACTAGATGGCTCTGTGAACTGTCCAGGGATATCATTTTTTTTTCCGGTAGATTTTATAATTTTGACAATTATATGTATTACAAACTAAATTATTCGAAAACAATGATTAAGAATTAATCTCAATCAAATCAAAATCAATGTGAAAGAAAGTTGTCAATTATTACATAATATGGAACAATTTTTTTTAATAGTACTGTTAGAGGTATTGCCAACTGTTGACATCTCAATGAAGCAATGAAGAAACGAACTTTCGAATTACCGTGTTGCGTTCAATTTCTTAAAAGACATTTATTTTGGAAAAGACATTTATCTATTACATTTAAAAAGGTACTTTGATTACAACATGTTTGCTTGTTGGGACTGGTCTGTTCGGTTGCGAACGATTTTTTGTTTTTTGCAATAGCATATGTCACACTATTCTCCCAAATTTGAATTTAACTGAATCTGTATTATTGTAAACATGTACATTTATTTAAAAAAAAATCATGCTGAGAAATTTCTCAGCTCGAAATCAATCTGAACTGACGGTAGATTTGACATACCATAAGAGTCTGTAATGGGCCTACATGTATAAAGATATTTTGAATTTGAACATTCAAGGTTAGACTTACTGTATATTGTACAAGACAATGTTCAATTAATTGAATTAATTCCGCAGCATGTATAATATAAATTTATACTTATATTATACAATAATCTGACAGGCACTATTTTTAGGCATAAACTTAAAACAGACAAATGGTATTTTTATTTGTATAAAACTGATAATAGTTTTTTTAACGCGGGTTATTGACAAGTTATTCTGTGCATAGAATTAGTGCATATAATTATTTAGAACGTTTTGCGCGATGGCGTATGACTCACGTGTTCCCTTAAGTTTAAGGAAAAAATTTACAAGACCGCTGGCTTGTATGGATCAGATATATATATAATTAGAGGAAGTATGAAAGTGGCGCCGGTGTCGGAGAAGAGGACTCGTCTATCGTGGTATGTGCATGTAACGCGTAAGAATTAATATAATATTTTAAGGAAGGTGTTACATAAATAAATACAAAACATCTGTTAAATTATTTTTTACTGAGCAAAGCCTATATTACTCACAAAACGATTACTTGAGTGACGAGCGTGCATGGCAATAGTTGTTCATGCACGAAATTTTCATGTCTAACATTAATGTTAGACATAGACACCTATATAAACATTGTAAATAAACTGGCTTTAAAAAAATCTATTGAATTTCTTGCCAGTTCCTCTCCATTGTATCTATATACTGAACTGGACGGTGGGGAAAAAATTTTAGTTATAATGTAAAAAAAATTACGTTCATAAGCGTCTAAAATGTCCTACACGAATAAATATTTTTTTAATTGTATTTGATTTTTATTTTAAACGAATATTGAAGAATATCTATATGGGACACAGTTAACTAGATACATCAAAATAATAATTGCACTTAATAATGTCTAAGTAAGACAAATCAATATTGTCTACTAAGCACTGCTGTGTCTAAACTGTGTCACCCCACCTTACATTTTCCTATTGTTAATTAGTATATAAGATCATTATTTCTGTGTACATATTGTCTGTTTATTACCATCTGTAATATACATCCTCTCGACAAACAAAATCGTACTCATTCCCCTGCAACAATCTACATAGCAATTTTATAGCGTGGATACCCCATAACATCCATGGTATCACTCAATAAATGCATTGACATACCAGATGATTAAGGATTTGCACATATCATCATCATCATCATCATCAGCCCACTGCAGTCCACTGCTGGACATAGGCGTCTCTGAAGGCACGCCACTGGGCACGATCTTCAGCCCTTCTCTTCCAGTTTTTACCCGCAACCCTACGTATGTCGTCGCTCCACCTAGCTGCGGGGTGTCCTACACTACGTTTGCCAATTCGCGGTCTCCACTCTAGAACACGCCTACTCCAGCGAGCATCGGTTCTACGACAGATATGACCAGCCCACTGTCACTTCAACTTGCAAATACGAAGAGCTATGTCGGTGACCCTAGTTCTCTGGCGAATTACTTCGTTACGGATTTGATCCCTCAGAGAAACTCCAAGCATAGCCCTTTCCATAGCTCGTTGAGCGACTTTGAGTTGGTGGACCAGTCGTATCGTCAGTGTCCACGTTTCAGCACCGTATGTCATAACGGGTAGGACGCACAAGTTTCTTGCTCATTCTTCTTATGATGAATCTGCATTCCGAATGAGTGGTAGAATCAAAATATGACTATTCAAAAGTTTATTTGAATAAAGATTATTTCTACTTCTAAAAAATAACTATACAATCTATATATAAGTCTTTCTTTGTACACTAGATTAATATATATAAATATATGTTATTTTTCTATTTATATCGGACACTGGTTTCAGCTGATAAAATACTCGTATATTGAATTTTTTTTTTATGAATGATTATGGAATGGTGCACCCGCCTGCGCTAACGGGTTACGCTGGCGGGGCACCAGTGGAGGATCATAACAGGTCATAACTGACCTGACCTCATGCTCATCTTATCATCCTGGGCTCCATTATGGGCTAACGCCCATCGTGGTAAATTCACTAGGAATTTATCACGATGGTTTCCAGGAGGTACCGCGTGGAGGTCGACCTAACACCATACATTGCTAGCAATGGGGATTACTAGTCCCCATTACTAACAATCCCCATCCCTCCGCATATTGAGGTTAGCATGAGTAAAAAATATATTCATGACTTGAAAGAGACAGAAACTAAAAAAATATATACTATACTTTATTACCTAATTGCAGGTTGAAATATTTATTTCTTTAATTTTAGTAACACTTGAGCATATAGTTTAAATAAAAAACAAAATAAGATATTTATTGTGTTGTTGTAGCGAGGAATTATTCTTTATTGTACACAAAAAAATACAGACATATAAATAAAATTGGAGTGTCTATTTGTAATATTGAAATAACCGATTTTTACTACATGCATTTGAATATAAATACGATACATACACTAAAATAACATTTTTTACAATTTTTGTCTGTCTGTCTGTTTGTTCCAGCTAATCTCTAAAATGGCTGGACTTATTTTGATGGGATTTTTTTGGCAAGTAGCTGTAGGTAATAAGGAGTAAGTAACTTAGTTACTTTTATTTTAGAAAAATAAAGTTATATCCAAAGCGGGCGCTCTACGCCCGGGCGTACTCGCCTGTAGGTATAGCTAGTTGTAGTGTCTAAAGTTAATACTTGGAATAAACCTAACATTATTACGAATCCAGATCTAACAGAGGACTACTTAGTACTACAGTTAAATCGTTCATTATGTATTCCATACAGAAATCAGTCACTCATGTCTGTCACCGTACAATTACGTTCCATTTTACCAGAAAACTGAAAAGATCAAAAATAATATTAGTTCAAAGAAAAATGTATAAACTAAAAATAAATTTATTTCTATTTATCTAGGTCTTCATTATAACTATTTCATTAATATATAATATTTATTAATGTACTATTAGGCTGAAAATCAGTTTTAAATTACAAGTAGGAGTCCTATACGGAGGAAAGGAACAGCGAGATATTTTTATTGGATCGTTCGAATGGTGAAATAGTCACCATTCGAACGATCCAATACAATACAATAGAATTTTTAAAATGGAGTTTGTATTTTTGCATTTAGATCACTGTTAAACTAGGGGCATCGCAGGTCTAACTTTAGACCATAGACGAATCACGATTTAGAGATAAACTTCATTTTGTAATAAGGAATACATTGGTGAATGGTTTACATATTACTAGTGCTAAACCAGGTTTATCTTTTTGTAATAAGGCCGTAGCAGTTTATTATCTATCGTCTCGAGGCGAGCGTACACGGACCGCCGTGCGCAAGAGGGAAGGGATTCCCTGCGCAAGCGCCGCGGAGTAAAGACGTGGAGCTATGGCTAACGAGCCGATATTACGTCGATAACAACTTACATACAAGAAGACATAAATAACAAATAAGTGAACACTATACTAGTTATTAATGATACTTCACTGTACTCACGTGGTCACTTTATTTCTGATAAACATTATACGCAATGAGTTTGAAGTGTAAATTTGTGAATCTGATGAGACAAGTAAGTGGAGCATATGTTTGTGTAATTTAAATATTTGTTAATGAATAATTACATATTACAGTGCAACCTTTATATAAAGTGCCCACCAATAACTCTTAATGTTATCATTATCTTTAATCTTATAATGTGATTTCGCACTATTCCTGGAAAAAGGAAGTAAGTGATTTTCGCCAACTTTTCAGGAGCTTAAAAAAACTGTCCTATATTTTTTGTATGAGTTCTAGAAATAAGTTTCAAAGAGAAAATCGTAGGTCACAGTTGCCTTCAACTACATGTGTCATTTAATTTAGGAACAGCTTCATGTACTTCCAGATAATCTAAAAAAACACGGTTACTTCTGTATTCCACGAAACACAAAGAACATTTGCAGGGGTAACTACAATTATTGCTTTTTTGTTATGTATTTTGAAATATATGAACAAATTTAACTCTACTTACGTCTTTATACTCTTCTATATTTCATTATAATCTAGAGTTGCAAGTATAATTACGTTGTTATTTAACGGAAAATCATTTTTTGTACATCGAGTTACGTATTTCTAGGGAGCCATTTATTTTAGTTTAGTTAGTGTATTTATAAAAATAGCTTTTATAATGCGGAAAGTAACTGAATATTTAATTTGTATCATTTAATACTTCTTACAGTAAATAGTCCATTATGTGCGTCCATGTAAGTCAAAAGTATAAATATAGAGACAAATTAATTTAGAGAATATGAAAACAAGCAGGGTTATTATTATTTTTTTATTATTTTTAAAGAAATGTTTATTGCCTCCATAATCCACTTAATCAAAAAATGTTCAAAATAGTGATATTTTTATTATTTTTATTAACCTTCATTATCCTCAACTTCGGAATCGGACTCTGTGGTAGCAGATTTAGTACTTAAGTTCTTATAAAACGTCTGATAGTGTGGTGTTATGTTTTTATCTTTATATAGATTCATCAAGTCTTTGTATATATTTTAGGTATCGGTAGCGGTGCATCATACTATGCCTGATTTCAGAAGGCTCGCTGTGTGCAGCTCTTTTTTTCTCATAACTCTTCCGCTTCTATTTGTCTATTATTTGGTGTCTCATCAGCGAATGCGTATTTCATTTGGAATTTCCCCGGACATTGAGGATCTGCCGAAATCTCTTTAATTTTACTCCAACTCGTGTAGTAAATATATTAGGTCCTAACATATGAAATTTGTAAGGGAGTAACCTAATTACTCCCTTACAAAACGCCACTTTCAGTTGATTTTTCAAAATATAATATATTTATTTAATCAAAATATGATCCATTGCTATTCATGCACTTTTGCCATTTGATAAGTAGTTTTATTGATCCCTTTACTAAAAACCATTAGGACGGGAATCGATAAATCGAACTAGAATTTTTCCCTTGCAAGAAATTATCCAAATTTTGAAAGAAAGCAGCAAGATCCGAGAAGTACGGTGGATATATTGGACATTTGAAGCTCTTCTAATTTCGTAACGTTATCCTGAAGCAGCAGTGGCCTATGGTGATTGACCAGTCTCGGTTGTTTAGCAGCTAGCTTTTCCATCATGGTTTGCAATTGCATACAATACACATCTGCCGTAATATTCTGGCCAGATTTAAGAAAGCTGAAGTGAACAACACAGGCACTAGTCCACTAAATGCTCACAGGTAACTTTTTTTGAGTTTGAATTTTCGCTTGGGGCAGGATTTGGTTAGTTTGCTAGGATTCAGCCATTGCGATGAGTGTTACCGATTATCGTACAAGATTCACTTTTCATAACAGGTAATGATTCGATTTAAAATCCCTTCATTATTATGCCGGTTGGCTAATGTAACGCAGCAGTCTACGCACGTTTGTCGATTTGCTCCATTCAATTCATGATCCACCTTTCAAGCTTTTTTCACCTTCCCAATTTGCTTGAAGTGGATTAAAACAGTTTTGTTACTAACACTGCAGCCTGCAGTTAACTCGGACGTGGTTAGCGATGGATCCGCTTCCACATTAGCCTTTAATTCTTCATTATCAACCTTGGACTCTGGCTGCTCACGGGGCTTGTTTTGCAGATCGAAATTTCCAGAACGAAAACATTGAAACCACTGTGTTTTCTTTTGCGACACCATCGCCATACACATCATTAATTCTTCAAGTCGTTTCTGCACACTAGTGCCACGACGGAATTCGTACTCTTAAAAAACGCGATATTTTATGTTTTCCATTTTGTAAACTCAGTGACGTAAAGAAAAAACCAAAGATGGAAAAAACATATGGATTACGGTTTTCGAAAAACAAATGCATGAGTAAATAACTGTACAAATTTGAAATTTGAATTCCTGGCGAAAGAGGAGATATTTGAGATCAAAGTGGCCAGTACGACAACACCAATTTCATATGTAAGGACCTAATATTATAGTACCATCTCTGAGAGGCTGGAGTAACATTTTCATAATCTGGGTTTTTCTTAATGCACTATAAGTATAAACGATGCATTTTCGATGCAAATCGGTGTGCTTAACCGCTAGACCACCAAAGCCTAATTGGGACAGGCCTATATCCAACTTTGGATAGACACAAGTTGAAATTATGATGATTAGTACTTTAATAGTTTTCAGAAATCTTAATCTTAATATAATATTCTAAACACGAAAGTTTGTAAGTATGGATCTTTGTTGCTCTTTCACGCAAAAACTACTGAATGGATTTTTACGAAACTTTACACTAATATAGTTTATGCATCTGAATAACACAGGATATATTTTTTATAGAAATTTAACGCGGGCACAGCTAGTAATTTATAACAAAGTAACGTTTGCGGGACCAGCTAGTATTGTATGTGTACCTATTATGGGCAGTGGGAATTAATATTGAATATTATTGCTAGCAATATATTAGTTCCACGCGGTCCATCCTGGAAAACATCGTTAGTTAATTCCTGTTAGACCTACAATAAGATTCACTGGCAATTGTATATTCGTTTATACATATTTAAAATAGAAGTATTCTTTTTATCTATTGTTTTTATATACACTTCTATCAATTCGCTCTGCTATGGTAAATGTCTAAAAGCAGATCGATTTTTCTATCATTTATTATTACTATTCCTGACAAATTCATCTGATCTCCTGCTCCTCCTATCATCCATCATTGGTGCCCGTACAACCTTATACAATTAGCTAAAAATAGTTTATTTTTTACTTAATTTTAATTACATGGACATATTCTTAATTTTTTTTTCTTGTAAATACATCCTGTATTCAAAATTACCCAACATCGGGTATGAAATGTTACGTGTAATAAAGAAGTAACTACAACTACACTTTACGCATTGTGAAGTTTTGCTGGGGGAAAAGTATGTAACAATAATCACACATAAACTATCAGCTAAAAGTTTCGTAGAAGAAGTACGTAATTAGAATTACACAATAGTCCTAGATTGTAAGATATAGGAACAAGTATTTAAGTATATTTGCTTTAAACATTTTTTTGTAAATCTTCTTTTTGTAAATCCCTTTATGAGCGGGATAATTGTAAAGCGAATAAATGCAAATACGCATACCTCTATTTTATGCTGGAATTTTATGTTTTCTAAAGTCGCAAAATTTTAGTATTTTTGCATTTATTCCTTCATTTTTGTCGATAGCTTCATGAGATTTTGACAGAAGGTGTAAACCATGAAGCTCGCTTTATTTATGTAATAAAACATTTTTGACGCAAGTGTAGTTGCGGCCTTTTTACACGGGATGTGCGATTTGTTGCGGGTAAATAATAAGATGTTGCTGGTCGAGACGATGTATATTACAGATGATGATAAACTGACAATGTGTACATAGAAATAATAATCTTATATACTAAATAACAATAGGAAAATGTAAGGTGGGGTGACACAGTTTAGACACAGCAGTGCTTAGTAGACAATATTGAATTTGTCTTACTAGACATTATTAAATGCAATTATTATTTTGATGTATCTAGGTGATTGTGTCCCATATGATTCATTTCTCGACATGTTTCGACACGCTTTTGTTAGTAAAGTAAACATTGTTGTTTGATGGAAAGTAATGTTAAACACTTCTGCTCATCACTATTGTTAAAGATTTAAGTTAAAATGGCCCTGAAACGTAAAAGGTGTTCCTTATCGGTCGCATAAAACCGAAACATCATTAATTATGTTGACCAAAATCCTATGACAAAAAAATTAGACATAGCTAATAAGTTCGGGATTCCCGCAAGTGCATTGGCTACAATTTTAAAATTTAAAGATAAGTTTTCAGAAGAAAGTGGTTTGAATGTAAACAGTAAAAGATCAAAATCATGCACTATTCTCTTACCTCTTTATAACGAGTTTTAGACCAACCTAACCTCAACATAACAAACCTCAGTTCAACGAATTACTTGATATTACGAATATTTTCTTGATCCCCTCCGATTTGTTATATCGAGGTTGCACTGTGTATATATTGGAATATATAGAATATAGGAAAGTGACCAAATATGTAATAGTATCCTAATATGGAATCCGTCCATTTAAATAGACTGTGATTTTCTACCTCTTTCTACTCCCATTTACGCATACAAATTATAGCATGTCAATCGAGGAAGCCTTTTCGTCGTTGTGACAGTGTTTTGTTTTATCGCTACCACATAAGTTTCTAAGTTATATAAAAAATAAATATTTCACGTACAGAAAGTCCACACAGTATAGTTATTATAGCTTTTATATACTGTTTAGATGTTCTTTTGTATGTTTTAGCGATAAATAATAAAGATAAAAATGTGTATGTCGGTTGGAAATCATTGGAAAATCCAAATATGGACAGATTACAGTATCCAATTATGGATTATTCCATAAAGGGTTCTCTGAAGTATCACCTGACTTGATAATTTTGTTAATTATATATTTTTCATTGTTTATAAAATATAAAAAATTTATTGGCAAAAAAAAACAAAAATAAAAAAATTGAATGAGAAGAAATCAAAAGAGAATATTAAGCCTACGTTAGATTCAGATGATGAGAAA